AAGGACTTGAATCGAAGAGGGCGTAACAAACAGTTCAATTTTATGCCCGACCCCTTTGGGAGCCTAATCTGAAATGTTTCACTCCGTTGTGTCAAGGCTCAAGGTAGGCTTGAACAGACCGTAGTCGAGCCACCGCTGTGAAAGGAAAAGTGAACGAGTTATCCGGTGATCCAAGGAACCCTAAAGTTTGGTTTAAAACTTTCAGGAGTCCATCTCCCCTAGGTCCTCTCCTCAGCGTGATGTCATCTATCTCCCCTGCTCAATGGCTCCAGTTTGGTACGGGAGACTCTGCGACACTTCTGTGCGACGTGTGGGCAATGGCTAGTGTCGGTGAAGAGCATTAAGCTACATTATAGACATGTCCACGTGGACATCTATAAGCGTTTTTGCCAGACAGCTGCCGCTGATTGTCGAAAAGTGGGCCACCTCATATCACCATGTGTGTACTGCGGAGGCCGCTATCACACGTACTGACCAGCACTCCGGTACCTGCCCAGTGCTCTGGCAGGCACGTGTCTGTTGTCTGGTGCAGGCAGACCTTGCATCAAAACGTACCGCCGCGCCGGCACCTACCCTCATCTCTGCTCTGCCCAGCCATGGAGCATGTGCCCACGCACATGGACTTGGACGAGGAAGAGAGACAGTGTTTCGGGAACCTCCTCGAAAAGCGAGCCCTCGCGCTGGGAGTGGAGTCGCCGAACAAGTACCCTCATCAAGGGGGGAAGGGTGCCCCACCGAGCGGCGGTGGCAGACCCCGTCAGTTCCCGCCGAACCGCGGTCCCCGCCAGGCGGCCCCCTCACAGGGGAGCCGAGGAAAGGAGGACAACCGCGGACGATCGGGGACTTCTTCGGACGCGTTGCTGCACAAGATAGCCAAGGCACTCATAGTCCAGTCGGACTACATGTCGCGTCTCCAAAGCGACCATACGGTCCACGAAGTCGCAGCAAACTGGAGAGATCAGCGCAGCAGGGCAAGGTTACCAAGTCCCTCAAGCAGACTCTGCTCCAGTATGTGACAGCGGAAATCATCACCAGGGTTACCACGTTCGCGAGCGACAAGAGCGCCCAAGCCAAGGCTCAGGAGATGGGCTGGGTGACGAGCGGCTTGGAGTACAATTACCTCGATTGGAATGCCGAGGAGCAGAGGCTCGTCCCTCGCCAAGAGGGGACGCTCACGCAGGACCAGGTCCTAGCGGATGCTCGGCGCCTCAAGGCTCTTCTGAAGCAGCAGGAACTGATTCTGAAGTTCTCGGCGGCCCGGAACGCCCAGCCGGACTCCACATCAGAGACGGCGACATTCGTCCTGGAGCTCTCGATGCAGATCCCGGAAGCCGCCGAGGCGATGTCCATTTTCCGGAGGTGGTTCGCGACGTCGGCTCTTCTACTTCTGTCGCTCCGTCTCAAGCCGGCCCGCCCGGAGCGGTCGCCGTTAATCAAAGAGATTCAGGAGGCGGTGGGATGGTGACTGGTCTGGGCCTTACATTCTCATGTGCACCTGCTTTGTCTAGCTCGATCCTTAGCGGCACTTGTCTTGCACAATCCTGGTAAGCATTGCTACCTCAATTCCGTTGTGTACTTGCTTGCTTATGCGTGCACTCTGCATGCACCGAATGGCCCCCCAAGGGGCGCCACGGCACTTGAGCATGCCTTGAGCTCTACCATATATGGCTCAGGCATGAGCACGCCACGCGGGGAGCAGACGATTGCCGACATGTCTGCGTGGAGGTCGCTGCTTAGAGAGTGGCAACACATGCATCGCCAGCAAGACTGCATGGAGCTTCTGCATCATCTACTGGAACGCAATCCCCTGCCATTCGCTGCTTGTCGCTGGGAGGCCAGACCTGTTCCTGGCACCGCTGCCGCTCGTCGGCCCCTCATATACGGCACTACTTACATGGACATACCTCTCCCGAGACGTGCACCCTTTAGCAGTGCGTTGTGCAGTGGCATGAACAGAGAATAACGCACGGATTAGTGGTTGCCCCTCCGATCCTGCTTGTCAGCCTGGCACGCTATGCCAGCTTGACCAGAGGCAAAAATCCGATTCGACTGCCATGCAAGGCCATGCAACAGGTCAACTTCCCTGTATTTCAGGGCTCTGGACATGACGTCGTGTGGACATCCTATACTCTCGTGGCAGGTGTACTGCATCTGGGGCCCCGACCCCAGTCAGGACACTACCGCTCCTTCTTGGCTCATCCTGGAAACCATTGTTGCAACCCTGCCTCAGGCTCCTACTCCTCGCTCAACTGAACCGGAGTTAGTGCCTGCGGGTGACCGGGGTTTATCGGCCCCCCCGGGGATGCCGCCGGCCCCCTTGGGGAGCAGACAACACACCTGGTGGTGTACAGACGATGGAAAACCGGCGGAAGTATGTCATCCCACATACTATCGAACTCTCAGTGAAAACTGCTATGTTCT